GAGCGGCGGGAACACCGAGCTGATCAACTACACCCATGGACATATGCAACACCAGAGGAACTGTAGATGCGTTGCCGGCCTTTAAGGAAATGGTATGCTCGCTTCTTAAAGGTCGCTAAGTCGTATTGGTTTCATTTATAAATGATTTTACAGTTTCTGCCTCATCTAAAGTAATGATTGATATGCGTATAGTTAATTCTTAAACTTCTTATTGACTAAAGACAAAACCAGTTTTGAAATTTAGTATTGTTCGAGAACATTCTTCGAGTACTACTCTATGCATAGGATATTAATTCCATGTTTTACGACTCGTAAAAAGATTTGAGAAGTGCTTTCAGTTACTAATTACGTACAGTAGCTATAAGATGCTGGCAACATACAAAATGCAGTGAAATGAGACTGTTAAATGTTTGTATGTAAATACACCGACGGATAAACGGATTTTTTCTCAATGATGTTATGTCTGTTTATTGGGCGTGAAGACTTTAGTAAACGGTATTGTTCTAAAAGATAAAACCTTGATGATGATCAAATTGCGTTTTTTGTGTAACATTTGGTTCGTATAAACATATATTTGGAAGAAACTTGAAAAGAAGATAAATAGACTATCCGAGTGTTATTTCATTTTTTTTTTAATACCGAAAAACTTTACGCCCCATATATCATTAATAAAAAAAAAGTTACAATTTAAGTAGATTTAGTATTAAAATTTTTAAAAATATAAATTTGTCTAATAGTGAAATGTCCCACGGTTCCTTATCGTGTTCCCAGGTTATTTGGTATAATTGCGAAGACGTTTTGCGCAACTAGACGCGGAAATGATGTTGTCTTTCGCTTGTTACCTGATAAATCTTCATAATTTGATATGATAATTCTACATTAAGATAAGATTATAAATGTTATTATTCTTATCGGTAACAGCTGTATCTTTAAGGCTTCAGATTTTAAACGGCCAGCTTTTTATGCATTTCGTAATACGTAAAAGTATTTTGTATTAGTCAAGAAATTAAAAAAAAAACGAATTTTATAACAAACATTTGCTATCGCTTGCGACACTGTCTGCGGAATTAAAAACTTAATAAGTAGCCAATGTGTTCTTCCTGACTTTGTTCTATATCTGTGCCGAATTTCATCAAGATCCGTAGAGCCGTACCAGCGATACCTTTAAATAAACATCCATCCATCCGTCTAAACATAGTTCGTTTACAAATATTATGAATGACAAAGATAATTTTCTAATTATAAGTGACACAAAATAAAGTCTTCACCTATGAGAATATTCAAACGACAGACAATGATAGAAGTACATTCAATCACAAAAAGTACGTCGATGAAAATAAGCAAAATCTTAAAAATAAAAATATCTGTCTAACAAAACATTATCTCTAAGAAGCGAGTTATCGTAATACGGAGTAAGATAATTAACGTTACATGAAACTTCAAATTATATATCTAAGTTAACGTATTATGGCTCAGTGCACTCACCTACAGTTGCCTCTAGACGTTTTCGATGAGTATTTTTGCTTGATGCATTATTTTATCCGGCATCTTTATTCAATCAGTGTCAACAACTAGTACTAATTAGCGCGTAAAGATTTTAAAAATAAAAAAAAACTGCAAATGAATTCAACCTTCTTTATAACTTAAAAATAAAATGTTGATAAGGTGTAACTGGAATGTACTGGGAAATCAAATAAAATAAATTTTAAAACTTACCTAAATCTCCGTTTAAAACATATTGTTATCTCTATATTGTCAAAGAAAATGACACAGATGACGATATGTTTTATACAGAGATTTTGGTGTCGGAAACCCACAGTCAGTGAGTTTTTGCCTTTTGCTACTAATATGGTCAATTAACCTGCGTGTTTCTTTTTATTGAATACAAGTATTTAATATTTGGTATCAATCTCCCAAATAGTTTAATTGATCACTTAAGGCATTACTAAAACGTTACGTTTCATCAAGATTGCGTTCTAAATTCTTAAATATCGATAACAGTAAAACAAAAAATAATCGATATGTAATGGAATATTGAGAAAATTGAAATAGAGAAGTGTGAAAACAAAAAAGTCTATAAGTCTATTACGAATGCTTTTTATTTCGAACATTTAGATGGATTATAGAGGGCACGTGCACACGCTACACGCCTCGTTAGATCTCTGATCCGTCGATTAATCGTAAATTATCATAGTGTTTGCAGACCGGTAAATAAAACCGCAAGTAAAGATGTAGTAAGTTCATTCCCGGTTGAGTACTTCTGATCATGTGTAATGTCTTGCGGTTATGTCGTAATATTTTCCCATTTGTTACGACTAATTAGTAATACTGATAAGCGAGGTAATCCACCTTGAATGATTCTTTAAGTGACTAACTATAGTTAAAAATCATCATCTAAATTAGTAGTACGCTATATTAGAATCTCTTTGGTGTGTAATGATTCAATTCGGAGTAATCAAAATGGTTTTTAGTTATTCACTGCTTACTTTTTAGTATCTAGTTTAATTTTAACTTTTATGACATTTTCAAAATGTGAACAACAGTCCTGTTTGTCGCCATCGCCAAATTGATAATCCCTTCAATACATAATTTGTAGTTTGTTAGTAATCTTTTTACAAGAATATAGACAGATTGTAAACTGACGTTTACAATCAGACGCTGTTCTATATGTATAATGAGAAGAGAAAGGAAACGGGAAATGGAATTCAATTTTACGATACTAAAATGATTTAATTTTTTTTATTGCAATTGTGTCGGATTTAACGCAGTTCCGAACTCGCTCGTGCCTAAGCTTTTTACGCGGCTAACACAAATCTTCTGAGCGTGAAATTTAATATTGTAAATGGTTTTGATCACGAATGCACAAATAAATGTTACACTTTGGAATACATTCTATATAATACATATGTTCAGACTTAGAAGTGTGAACATATATATTTTTCCAATGCACTATCGATTCCAAAAATATTACTTGTTGAGCGTCAATCGATTTTCAAAAGAAATATACGCTTGTGATAGATCGAAGGTAACTTCAAATGGACGAAAAATCTGATAGTTGATCTCTAATGGTAGTTACATTTAAACATATAAAACTAACTTCAATGCATACGATATAATGCTTTTAATTTTTGAATTTTAATTTTCTTCATTCATAATCACTAACTTTGTGTGAATGTTTATTTTTTAGTGCAGCCTGTTATAATCTTAAAGTTGCGTGACGTTTAATTTAATGCAGTAACAAATTATCTCTTATAAATCACGATACATTTTTTTGTCAGCGGTTAATAAATATAAAGAAATAAACATACCAAAATGATGAGCACGAGAGCGCAGTTGAAGGCGCTCGTCATGCTTGCGGTCTGCCACACTCGAGCGCGGAGCCGACCGTTAAAGCTATCTGCCCCGATTACCTTACTGATGCTACCACAAAAAAAAACCGAAATTCTCCTAATAAACTAGTGTAAATATTCGTCACAATATAAGTACGAATAGCACTGGCACATAGAAAGCGTTTAAGCTTCGCCTGTCTGAAAGCGACTGAAGCTTTCCCGCGCAGTAGTAAGCCAAGTGTCTGCGAGTCGCGTCGGATAGGCTGTGGTCCGCGTGGTGCGACTGTGGTGTCTCGGGACGGGACTGCGCGGTGCCGCCGCCGGCACACTCGCCTTGCTGAGGAACAGTTAGGCCGCGCTGGGGAGGGCACCTGCTCGGTACTCGACCGTACCCTACCGTTTCTCACGGCTCGCAATTCGGCTATCTCGCGATCTACATTTTTGATTAGACTCGGATTAGGGGAATTAGGTTCAAATGTTCAGCGAAGGCGTTCGGCGCCGTGACATTCGCGTAGTGAAATCTCCTCCGGTCGACGCCGAGGAGCCTCTAAGCTCACGGGTCGCCGGCGCTATTTCCGGACTCTAATCTGTCCATCGTGATTGATTCCAAGAAAACGATCGGATCATAAGATACCCGATAAATACAAATGGACTGGTTGTTATTGTCCGAGCTAATTCAGGCTATCAATTTGATTCGTAATTAAAAATACTGTAGAAAGTTAGTCATCGCTCGACGTTGATTGATTTTTACTCTCATTGCGTTTAACAAACTAACGTTTTGTTCTTTCACGTCTTTTTAAGCGAATCAAGATAGTCAAAGAGATAGTGTTTGTTTTTCACTGACCTCATTCTAAATAAATCTAAGAAGTAAAGTTGTTTTGATAAACAAACCTTGGCATCGTTAGAGAATCAAATCTAACATCTATTAAGTTTCGAACTCTTCGCCTATTATCACTGAGCGTAGATATAATTTTAAATGAAGAATTAGTGAATAGTTAGCTTCATAGACTGCATGGAGAAAATATTATTGTAAACAATTTTACCGAAACAGCAAGAACATAAAGTTACACAATCCAAAAAAATATTAGCTTTACACTACGCAAGTGACTTGCGGCCCGTAACCGAGACGATCATGACCGCTTCCTTCACGCCCTTTACCAATTTCATGCCCTTACTTGTCTATGGACATAGTCTAAAACTTATCTTATTACTTGTACACAATGTAAACAAGGTTTTATTGAACTTTTAACACTGTGTAATAGATGTATATTTCTTAAACCTTAAAGATAAGACAATAATCGTAGAAAATTCAATGGAAGCTTTAAGGCGATAGAAGCTCTCTAGCGGTCAATGGGACATTTCAATATCTAGGCTTTCGAGACACGTAAAAGCGAAACCTACAAGTGAGCCAGGAGCCTAGAAAACGCCGACCGTTCACTAGAAAGCTGCTTCAATTTACTACCTATTAATTTTAATAGCAGTAAACTGTAGTGTTGGATACCTCGAAATTGTTATTATAAACACTCACGACTGTCTCTTAAGTTTGTAAATACTGTTTACTGAACACTATTTATATCTCATAATTTTCTAAGCCTAAAGCTCTATTGTTAGGCTTTTTACATATAATACTTCAACTTCATCCCCGACTAATATTTTGTCGTGAATTTTATTTTTAAATCCATTCGGCTTCCTTAAATATACTTTAATGGCGGCCAAAGGTCTCGAGGAATCTTAATAATATTATAACTGCGAAACTTATGTGTAAAGTATAGTTATGTGATGACTGGTGGTGACAAACATCTATCCTTGTTGCTATGACGAGTTATCGGAACTTAATTATTTTTTTCCATTGTATGAGAACGAAAGCTTGCTATATGAATATGCAATTATTATCCCTCAGTCGTTATTTAAGCGTGAAAGTTGCAATGTTTTCATTTTATTTTTATGACATGATAAGCAACGTATGACCTGGTTTTTGATGGAAAAATATTGTGCAAAACATTGTTTTGCAACGTATCTACTATGTTACTGTACCTTTATTCTGTGTGATATTCTTGTCTATATTATCTACATATTTAATTCATTAATTTCCTAATAAGTTTTATCGATTAATCTATTTAAGAGAATGTAGATTTGTTGAAAAATCGACCTGCTTAAATTTTTTTTGGCTCAAAGTTTTGCTCCATAAAAACCTTTAATAAATACAGTATTGTTTTTATATTCGTTACGGTAAGAAACTATTAGTTGAGATAGAAAGTTAGAGCACAAAAACATTGATTTGGGTAAAAAGAAGAGACCGAACCTGCTTTTTGTAATTGACAAAAAATAACCTACGAATAGAAGTTAGTGTTCTTAAATTTTTGCAAATCGTTTTAACCGAATATTCATGAACTAGCTGTCGGCCGCGACTTCGTCGGCGCGGAATTGAATAAAACTTAATTAGTACTCTATGTGTTCATCCAGGCTATAATTTATATGTACGCCAAATTTCGTCGATCCGTTCAACCGTTTCGGCGATACCTTCAAACAAACATCTTTGTAAACATTCACATTTATAATATTAGTAAGAAGTAAGATGTAACTCGAATCGAATCCAATGTTATTTTCATGTAATTTTAATTGAAAACAATGAACAGAATTCGCTGACAACTGCGAGTGATTTATCGACGTAAGCTTATTCCCTAAAGTGTTTTCTAATGTGAATTTAATGTAACATTTTCTGGTCTGTCTTTTTTGATCATGCTGTCTTAATGATCATACATTAAATTAAATAAATTACGCATAACGTTAAGCGAGAGTTACCAATGGATTCTCCGTTATAGGAAGAAAATCCGACATTGTGCCGGTGTACTGGCGCAACACTAGCTTTATTAAAATAGCAATGTTTATGTCCCCTCAATAATCAATCTGACACTTGACGTTGTAACAAAAGCGCGCCAAAGGATTATAACTAATAATGTCTAAAAATTAAGAATGTATTTAAGCTGATTTTGGAAGTGCCAACTAAGATGATTTAATAAAAAAAAGATGATTTAATAAAAAAAAGATGATTTAAATAAAAAATAATTGTTGTTTTCATTTTCTGTCACCGATGCAACGTACTTAAATTAGGACATATGAATTATTGTCTTTTTATGTTTAAAATATTCCTCGCAGAGTTTATTGTCAAGAACATTTGAAAGTAGTAAAAACTAATTTAGTGATAGTTCTTTTTTAATTCTTTGCTGATGATCTTAATTAATTCCATTGTAGTTTCTTATAGTAATTCCCTATTGTAAGTTTTCGTTTATTTATCACCTGTTTAAAAACACAAGGGAAAATGAAACAAACACAAATAATTAGTACGTGATGATATCGTAATTAAAAAATTGAAAAATAAAGTAATCATTACGTTTTCAGATAAACTGTTTACTAACATAAGGCCGGATAAGATTGTACAATGTATTTAGGGTAACTTCAATCATCGAACAATAATTAGCGGAAGAGGCAATTGAGATGTTATATCAGTACCGCATTCATAGTGTCAAGGAAACGGAATCGTGCTGGGCGCAAGGAATCGCATTGCTCATTCCACGTTATTGAATGTGTCAAGGGGAGCGCGTGCCGGTGACAACTTTTTACTGTCATTATCTTTATAGCAAGCGCTTCTAATCGTGTGATGTGATCGATGGTACCATCTTCCGTAAGTAGGGCTGCCACCTCTTCAGATTCGGCTAAAATTCTTCCTTTTTGTGTCATACATATATAGACTTTTTGGATACATAAGTCATAAGATCAATCGTTTTTTGGTCTGCGATTTTCTTCTTCTTTCGTCAAATGTTGCTAAGTCACTGATCATGCGAATTTGAAGTTAATGCTCCGTACGGCTTGCTCCGGGCTGCTATCATTCAGTAATTTACTTTACTGAATGATAGCAGCCCTATATGAAAGCTGTCGTGATATCCACGGCATATTGTCGCGCTTCCAAATCGATATGAACAGTAAACTGGATGCCCGTTACGCAATCACTCGATGTTATGTCCATGCG